CCTGGTCTACAAAGTGAGTTCCAGGACAGCCAAGACTGTTACAGAGGGAAACCTTGTCTCAAAAAACAAAACAAGGAGGAGGAGGAGGAGGAGGAGGAGGAGGAGGAGGAAGAGGAGAAGGAGAAGCAGAAGGAGAAGCAGAAGGAGAAGGAGAAGGAGAAGGAGAAGGAAAAGAAAAATGAAGAGCCTGTCTCTCTGTAAAACTCTGGCTGGCCTTTAATTCAATCTGTAAACCAGGCTGTCCTGGAACTCACAGGTATCTGCCTGCTTTTGCCTCTCAAGTGCTGGGATTAGCTGCATGCCTCACCAGCCTTGCCAAAAATAAGTAACATATGCCATATATATTTTCAGGCAGGGTCTCATGTATCTCAGGCTGATCTTGAACTCACTGTGTAGTTAAGAATGACCCTGAATCCTGATCCTCCTGCCTCCATGCTTGGTGTATACAGTGCTGGGGATTAAACCTAGGACTTCCTGCATGCTGAGAAGAAAGAATTCTGCTACCTGAGCTACAAACACAGCCACAAGAGGCATTATTGATTATTATTATTATTATTATTATTATTATTATTATTATTTTGGTTTTTTCGAGACAGGGGTTCTCTGTATAGCCCTGGCTGTCCTGGAACTCACTCTGTAGACAAGGCTGACCCCAAACTCATAGAGATCCACCTGTTTCTACCTCCTGAGTGCTGGAATTAAAGATTAAAGGCGTGCATCACCATGCCTGATTTTGTAAAGATTTGAGATGTCAGTGGTGTGTGTGTGCGTGCATGTGCAGAGGCCAGAAGATGGTGTCTTCTGGAGCTGTAGTTACAAGGAGTCCTGAGCTGACTGACTTGGGTGTTGGGACCTGTGACCGGTCCTCTGAAGAGCAGCCAGTGTTCTTACCACTGGGTCAATCCTCCAGCCCTAAGAATAATTGCCTTGTTTTGTTTTTTATGTAGTGGAATGGTTAAGACATGTCAGTACCTTTTAACCCTTATTCATTTTTATTTTGTGTGCATTGATGTTTTGCCTGTATGCATGTGTGAGGATGCCAGATCTCTCCAGGCCCCCAAGAAGAATTCTTTAGACTTGGAAATCTCTCATTCTTGGGGGTTTCTCTCACTTCTCCTTAATTTCTTGCTTTTCTGTGGTAATGAGTGACAAACCCTGCTTCTGCTTTTCATAAATAGTGGGAGGGAGGGCTGGAGAGATGGCTCAGTGGTTAAGAGCACTTGCTGTTCTTGCAGAGGACCCAGGCTGGGTTCTTAGCACCTACGCAGTGGTTCACAATTGTCTGTAACTCCAATTCCAGGGGATCTGACACACTCTTCTGACCACTGCAGGCACCAGACATGGCACAAGACACACATGGTGGTAAAACATATAAAATAAGTAAGTCTCAAAGGAATTTACTTTATTTCATGAGCATTGGTGCAGGTGTGTCAGATCCCCTGGAAATGGACAGTGGTGAGCCACGCTGCCCAGGTCCAGCCCTCAGCAAGAGAAGCCAGTGCTCCTAACCTTTGTCACGTCTCTCCAGCTCCCAACTTTCTGTGTGTGTGTGCGTGTTTTAAGTAAAGCTGGAAGCTGAATGTGGTAGCCCCAGGCCTGTGATCCTAGCACTTGGAAGACTGAGGCAGGAGAATCATTAGTTTCAGAGCAGCCTGAGCTACAAAATCCATCTTAAAAATAATAAAATAAAATGCAAAATGATTTTTAAAAGAAATAAAAAATAAAAAACAATCTAAAAACAGGAGAGTCAGGATAAGCTGCCTGTGGTTCTGTTTCGCCATCCCCCAGGCATCAGGAGCCCCCCTTCCCCTCTGCCTTGTTTTCCCTTCCTCCCCCCACCCCTCCTCTCCTCCCTCCCTCTTCCTCTCCTCCCTGTATCACTATTAGTGACCAGGCAGAGGGCCACAGTGTATCCGGGGTGGGCAAGGCAATATATCTTCTTCCTCAGACCCACAGGCTAAGGGTGTGCACCTCCTAGGAGACCCCAAACTACACAAGATAGCTGTGGCACCCTGTGTGGACTTGGAGTACTGTGGGGAGGCGTCTGGGCACATCGCAGCTGGGAAAGTGGCACAGTTTTTATCCATTTAACATCATCTTCCTGGCCTGAAGAAGTGGTCCATGCCTGTTATCCCAGAACCTGGGAGGAGGAGGCAGCCAGAGCCCAGGTTCTCACAGGAGCCGTCCTTAGCTGCACAGTGGGCTCAGGGTCAGTCTGGGCTACATGAGATTCTGCCTCAAAAACCCCAAATAGGATGTAGCTCACTTGGTGGACTGCTTGTCTCGAATTCACGAAGCCTGGAATTTGACCCTCAGCACCTCATAAAGTGAGTGTGGTGGCCACATAGCTTCCGGATGTGGAGGCAGGGAGACCAGAAGTCCAAGTCATGCTCAGCGACAGTAAGTTTGAGCACAATTTGTGCTAAGGAGACATTATCACACACCACCCACACATGCACACACACACACATCACACACACAACCCACACACATGAACACACACACACACACACAAAAAACAACAACAACACAC